ATTATGTATAATATTATTTACGACTAAACTCAAACATTTGGTATGAGATAAAATTGCCATAAATGTGTATAAACAAGAAATGAATTTCCATGAATAAATTGTTTCTTGCAGAAACATATCAAGAGATGAGCAAGATGCCTTTGAAAATTTTTGGCGAGATCTAACAGAAATTGTACATGATCTTCAACAAAATGAAGATGCTGTATGGAAGCAAATTACAGCTGTAAAAGATCAACAAGAGGATTTACATGAAACATGTAACAAATTAGGAAAAGCATGTGTTAATACTGTATGTACTTAATATATGCAGATATATATGTATATTTTACACTCTATATAATTTATTTTAATAGGAATGTGTTGTGGCCGATGCTGAATTATTAATCAAAGAAAGCGTTAAATGCATCAAGGATATTCGCGAAGAATTCTCTAAAACACAAGAAGATATGAGAAAAGCTCTTGAAAATTTATCCACAGGCGTAATTGATGTGAGAATTTTTATTTTATATACCTCTTTTATTCCTTATTATGTCTCATGAATTTCGAAAGTAAAATAAGTTAATAAGTATGATTATTGTTGGATAAATTCAATTACATAATATTTATTATTATTATTAGTATTTATTTTAAGTACTATATTTTGTTTATTATTAAAGGCCAATGAGATAAGCCAGAAGTTGTATTTACTTCTATCATTTTAGTTATTTGCATTTGCATTTAAATTGGAGAGTCACTCATGTTTTCTTTTCAAGTTTCAATGTTCAATGTTGAAAAATTCAAGTTTTCAATGTTGAAAATTTCAACATATGTATTTATGTAAGTTTCACAGTTCGATCATTTCCAAACTCCAACAAACTTGGTAACATTACCATTCTGACACTCTGCAATGATACTCTTGGAATTATGAGGTTGTTATATTTATTTTTTTTAGAATTCCACGACTCAACGTGTAAATTTTACTTTAAAAGCGATGAAAGTAGAAGATGTCTTTAACAAATTATATGTGCATTTAGATAGCTTTGTAAAAAACTTGCACAAAATAAGAACAAACTTAGTAAATGCACAAGTGAAGATTTTAGAAAAAAAATCTGGAAATGCCATCAATATTATAAATTGTCTGAATGATGATACAGTGAAATATGTAAGCCATAATAAATTAACATGAATACTTAACATTAGAGATTTTAAATACTTATATGCGGTTTCAAAATTTTTTAGATAAAAAATAGAAATCTAGCAATGAAGAAATTGAAGAATATGAAAAATGATGTAAACAAATTGCATGACTACCTTCAAGAATGTGATATAGAGAAAGAACACTTAATAGATTCAATCATGGACATATCTAGGGATTCGATATGTGTTCAAACGGATAATGTATAAAATATTATATACATATATCCATGCAAGTTTTTTATACTTATTTCTATTTCAGAAAACGGCTCTAAATACGGTAGACTTTTCTTCCCAAGAAACGGTTACATTTATGCCAGCTGCACATTCTTCTTTTACAGACGAATATAAGCCTAGAAATCTTGACACAAAATCGGATGATAAAAAAATTATTACACTTCACATGGCTTCAAATTTGGAAGGAAAAAACAGGATCATGTCCGAAGTAAAAAAATTGTCGCTTGTTAAAAAGTCTTTAGAAAATTTAATTGTTAATTTGAGTAAATCAACTGATAATGCTACTGATGATCTAAATGAGATTAAATATCTAAATGATGCTTATGGCGTTGATAAATTTCTCCATCAAGTAACTAAATATCACGAACTGTTTTCTAAAATTATAGATCAACTAAACAAAGGTGACCACCATAATCTTTCCGATGTAAAAGTAGATCTTCTTCCTGATTTAAAATATATCCTCTTTCTGATAAAAAAGCAGATCCTCTTTTTGATACAAAAGTAGACAACACGCCAATATTATACAAATACCCAGTCACTAATAACTCTGTTGAGCTCCAAAATACGAATAGTTTCGATAAATTATTAACCGTAAACAACAATTTAGAAAGACTAGTGTCTAATTTACAATACGAATTGAAAGCGTTAGGTAGAATTTCTAGAGGTACAGGGCAAGATCTTATTAACCAATGTGATGCAGAATCACGAATTCTTGATCAAGAGGAAATGTGTCTGCGCGATATCGACAAATATTATGAACAGTTGTCTCGTATGATATCACATGTTTCGTCAAAGTATGATAGAAGCCAGAGTGACGGAATGAATCAATATTTCATAAGTCCTGCTAATAAGGAATACTTACAAGCAAGCTTAGAGGATTTAAAAACTCAAACTAAAAATCTTCAATTTGTAATGACAACTCTTCTAGACCAAACGACAAGATCGCAGTTGGATCTAAGACGATGGCAAAATTTCGATAGGAATGACATCAATACCTATAAGAAAGAATTTGAACGACGTCAAGAGACGATTCGCGATAAAATGAAAAGCTTACTTGAGTTAGAAAAAGTTCTAGAAATTATCACGGCGACGGTTTCTGGTATGAAAATAAACTTATCTGATTCTTATGCGAAAGGCAAATCGCCGGGTAAATTTGTAATGGGAGAATCGTTGAAAGAGAATATATTCAACAAAGTAGATTTGCTAGAAAGAAATAAAGATCAAGCTTTAGTAATAGTGTACAAGTTGAAAGGAAATATTGAAAACTTGGGGTTAGAGATACAGTTAATGGAGAAAGATAGTACAGATGGCATTGCCAACTTGGAAAATTTATTTACACGATCTGTAAAGGGACACGGCGAAAGGAAGGATGTTGTTTTCAAGTTAGTTGAATCTACGGATGAGATAGATCGAGCTGTATCCGAGTTAGATAAAATCGTGGGTAATACAATTACTAATGAAAATGAAATTGAAAAAATACACAATCCAAAGGAAACATTAATGTTGCAACAATCAGAAATGGAGATGCAACGGCTTCGAGGCCTTAAAAAGGAACTAAAGAGTAAATTTAAAACAATGAAAGACGAATTAAAATCATTTAATCTATTATTAACTGATATTATCACTTCATCAGATGATAGAAATAATGGTAAAATACAAGATTTTAGGCATGCTGCCAACAAGCATAAAGAATTTATCGACAGTATTCCTAGTATTACTAGTGAAATTCGACAGACTATTAATCGTTTGAAAGATATCTGGCAAGAATTCGCCCTTCTATCAAGCGTTCCAAATACGATGTCAGGAAACAGCTGGCTATATTTGGAACAGAATGATATGACTAAAAAAATTGAAGAATTGGAAAAAAATAAATTTGAACTGGAAAGTACAATCAATGATTTGAGATCAGAAATTTTACACACTAAGGTAATACAAACGCTAATATTGTATATTATTAACTGTATTGAATTTTATGTAATAATTTGGAGAGGCAAAAAACGTATCTTAATATTCTTTACAATTCTTATGTTTTATTCAGGAGGACTTTGGAAGTGAAATGCTTATTAAAGATCACCATTTAGGCAGACTAGAAGATGAAATCAGAAACAGTAAAAACGACATAACTGCTAAGGAAGAAACAATTAAAACGCTAGAGCTCCAACTCAAAGAGATGGAGCAAGATTTAGCATCTTTAAAAATCAATTTAAGAGAATCTCAGTCGCAAGTGAATGAGGCAAAACTCTTGAATGACCAAATAAAAGGTAATAAAATAACTAAATAATAAAATACAGCAATAGATTAATTGATCAATTTTGATCTTTTATTTCTGATTAAATGTTAAAGGTGAACTAGAAAATAAAACCCATATAGAGAAAAAAGTGAAAGACCTCCAGAAGCAGAAGAAAGATCTTGAAAATACAGTCAAGGTATAATTATACTTAATTCGGGTCATCTGTGTTTTAATTATTCAATTCATTTCAGGAATTGAAATTTAAGTTATCAGAATCAGATAGTAGTTTGTCTGAAATGCATCAACAACAAAAAAGTGAACAAGAAAATTATAAACAGCATTTGGAATCGGAACGTAGGGCTAATGAAGAGAAACAAGAAAGGATAAAAAGACTTGAAAAGCAATTAGACCAACTAAATAATCAAATGAGTTCATTAAGTAATGATTTAGCTAATAATCAAGCTCGTTTAGATCAAACTCAAGGGTTGTATTCACAAATCGAGCAAGAGCGTACCTTCAAAAATAAATTACGTGATGAAGTTGAACTTCTCCGAGGACAAAAATCGGACTTAGGATTAATTATAGCAAGTTTAAAAGAAAATTTGACAGATTCACAAAAGATACTGAAAGAATCAGAGAAACGGCATGATGAGGAAAGAAGGAACTATTTAAATAGATTAGATGAAGATAAAAAATTATTGTCTTCCAAGCAGCATGCTTTGACTAATTTGCAAGATGAATTATCAACTATTGATACAACTATATCATCCATAAATAACGATTTGGGAAAGTTTTCTTTTCCAGAATCGTCGGAAAAAGAAATTTTAACGACAACATTTGATGACAAATCGTTATATGAAGATACAAATTTTATTATGTCCAGTAATTTGCAGAAAAATGGTCAAATGCTTAAATCTAACGTGACAAATATTATTAATGAATATGAAAAAACTAAAACTGCTTTACAAGCAACTATACAGGATTTTAATAAACAAAAGCAACACCTTCAACTAGCTATCGATTCAACTATTGAAAAGGTAAAAAGAAAGGATAAAAAAATTCAAGAGCTACAACTAAAAATTAAGGATATGTCTTCTACAATAACGAATTTAGAAAACGATGTCAAGATGCTACAGTTCTCGATTCCGGAAAATACTAGAATCATTAAGGAAGACGATCAAGCAAAATTGATGCATTTTCTTGATATGTTAAATAATAAATTGTGTGCAGTAACAACAACAGTGGGTCACATGAAGCATTTAATTTTTAACACCTACACTAACTTAGATAATGTTGAATGCGACGAACATGACAAGCAAAACGAAAAATTACATGAAATAAATAATGAAGACTGTTCATGCGGTTGTTTGACCAAAAACGAGTTTTCAAAGGACCAGCGGGTTGATGTGCTCGATAAGCTTAAAATTTTAGCAGCCGAACTGGTTCAAATTTATAATAATATGACTAAGTTAACTGGAAAGCTCAAAAAAGATAAAGCATCACGAACTACTATAATTAATACAAATTCTGTTCTAGAAGATAGAGTACGTACTCTGAAAAAAGAAAATAGAGATTTGACCGCTTGTCTTTGTAATGCAACTCGTGATTTAAATGAGTACAAAGAAAAGCTATGCGCAGCTGAAATGAAATTTAATGAGGATAAAACAAAATTTAAAGGGCACTGTGATGAATTAGAGTGCAAAATTCTTCTGTCAGAAAAGAAAATGAAAATACTCAAAGAGCAAAACCACGAACTCAAGGTAAGTCATTGTTTTGCATAGCTAACTTACAAACTTTTTTAAATATGTTTATATTGTGTTACTTAGGAAAGTTTGTGCAGAACACAATCTGAAATACAGCAGCTTAATCAAAAGGCTGGTGAGCGATCCAAAAATCTTGCTAAACTAGTACAGATATCTGAGCGAGAAAATTTGTCACTGAAAAGGAAAGTAGAAGAGCTAGAAAAACAGGTTCTAATTATTAAGAATGTCTGATATTATTATCTATTTTTTACGTATAACAAATAATTATTTTTCAAGTTAGGTTCATGTTTTATTTTCTCCTGTATTTATTTATTTAAAGGCCATTGAACAGTCAGCCGAAACTGCACCATCAAAAGCATTAGTTGGTGAAGTACGAGAATGTCATCACTTGATTGTTGTTATACAAGCCGCTGCAGAAGATTTAAGATCGAATCTAGAAGATTTGGAAATTGACCTGAATGATAGAGAAATTAAGAACAAGCATATTTCTGCCCTATATCAAACAATACAAAAGTATGTATATTTACTTGAGAATTAAAATATTGGAAGGAAATATTGAAAACATCAAGTAAAAAATGAAAAGAGTATAGAACGTGGGGCGCATGCCTCACCGGGGGGCAATCTGAAAATTTTGGCAATTTGAATGTAATGTTGTATAGTACCGGTAAAACTTTATACTAGGGTACAACTAAGGTGTCCCGGTTTTTAACGTTACTTTCCGGATGGCGGAGTTATTTGTTTCTCCCGGTTTGACCTGACTTTTTGAAAACTTCAGCTTGAATTTGAATTTTTCTCATGCTTATCCGTTTAAAAGAAAGTTCAAAATTTTATGAATTAAATTTAAATTTTTCGAAAAAGTCAAATTGTTTCAAAAATATTAAAATTTTCAAAAATCTATTTTTTAAATTTCTCAAAAAATTTAAAGCTTTTTTAAAAATTTTAATTTTCGATACTAAAGTTTCAGCAATTTGACTTAAGTCACGATGCCATGCACCGATATTTAAAAAAATACACTTTATAAACATATTGTATGTACATCTGTAATTTTTTTGTATTATATGAACTATAATACTTTCTTATCATTCCATAAGATCGACAGAAGAGATGTACAGTATCATGGACAGCTTTGAAAATGATATCACATCTGGACTAGAACAAGAGCAAATAAAAAATATAAGCGACAGTTCCAGCGACAGTGAAAAATCAGCTAGAATTGAAGCACCTGCCACATGTCTACAATATTTCTTGGCTGGTTGTGAAGAAACTATGAACAGAATGCAATATATCAATCAGGTTTGATTTTAAAATATCATTTATATTAATTTATTTATTGAATGAATTTAGAACATTAGGAAAAGTATGCTTAAATTAAAAACAATTCGACAATTTTAAATTTGGGAGCTAGGGTAGCAATTTAACGTTAAGAACATGTTTAATGTTATGTGTTTTTTATGATTGTTTTGTACAGAAGTGTGCGTAAAGTGATTCTTAACAATCTAATTGAAATAAACAATATTTTAATAAATTAGACACTTAGAATTAGATAGGAATAAGTGGTCAACTATATAGGGTGCATTTTGTGTTATGCGTTTTAATTGGTGCTCATATTTTCTATTTTGGATTAAAAAAATATTTAACTTATTGCAGAGATTAAGAGACGAATGTTTACAAGTCAATATAAGCCATTTGTCGAAAATATTAAATAAACTGAAGAAAGATTTGCCAAAGTTGCAAAAATCTTTCCCTCGAGCTCGAGGTGGAGATAATTCAAATGAAGAAAAAAGAGAGTGGTCAAATGGCAATAAAATTTTGAAAACTCTGTACGAACATTTGAAACTGTTTAGAAAAGAAGTGGACTCCAGTGTAAGTTTTCTTTATATATTGTAATAATTTTGAATATCTTCTATATATAAAAAAATAAGTCGGGTTTTCCTTCCTGACGAAATAACTCCAGAACGCACGAACCGATTTCGACAATTTTGCATTCGTTGGAAAGGTCTCGGGCTCCGCAGGTTTATAGCTAAGGAAATTAGTGGTGCATGGCATCGTGCCCTAATGCAAATTGCTGGAACTTCGCGCACCGTAATTAGAAATTCGAGTAATAAAAATAATCAATAATTGTTTTAAATAATTGCGAATAGATTATCTTCTATATATATAAAAACTAGTTGGTTTGGTATTTAGCCTTGAGGCAAGTTACATGAACTTCCCGATATATTTAAATAATCGACTTAATCAATAAAAAATAAATTAATTTATGAGTCATTAAAAGTATTCCGAGTGGATTTATTACACATAATTGAAAACGAACGAACTCGGAGTATTTTCTAAAAGCAAATTTTCAAAAATCAATAATTTTTATAATTGAACCAGTTTTCAGGACTTTAATGATTTATTATGTTCAAGACCAAGTACTTTATCATTATACCAAGTAAATAGTCTAATTTTAATTTTAACAAATGTCAAAAGAGCTACTCATTTTCTCAAACTTTGATGAATTTTTAAAATCAAACTATTTATCTTAAGGCCGTAATATTTCAGTAAGTTCTATAAGACCATGGTATATATCGCTAAAAAAAATCCATAAAAATCGGCTTAAATTTTTTTTTCAACGGTTAATTACATGAAAACGGCTCGGTAGATTTTCACCTAAAACTGATCAGTATCATTCCCAACTAATATCTTTCGAACAGTTTTTGATTTTTTAAAATTGGTTCGGTAGGATGAGCTTAAATGTGGACAAAAAGTTTAACACTTTTTTTCAAATAACAAAGAAACGGCTTGGCTGATTGTCGCACAAAACTGACAAACGATAGTCTTCCCCGAAATACATCAAATGGCTTTTAAATTTCTGAAATCGGTTCAGGCGCTTTTGAGAAAACGTCGATCAAAAATCTAATTTTGACAAATGTCAAAAAAACTATACCAATTTTTGCAAATTTTGACGAATTTTTAAAGCTAAACGAGTTGTCGTAGGGCCGTAATATTTTAGTATGACCTAGAAAACTATGGTATCTACCGTCAAAAAAAAAATCATAAAAATCGTCGAAATTTTTTTTTTAAAAACGTTATTATAAGAAAACGGCCCGGCCAATCTTTACCAAAAACTAATCAGCACGATTCCCAACCAATATCTATCGAATGGTTTTTGAATTTTCAGAATCGATTCAGAATTGCGGGCTAAAACGTGGGCGAAAAAATTTTCACTTTTCTGCAATTTACAAAGAAACGGCCCGGCCGATCGCCGCACAAAACTCAGAGACGATAGTCCTCATCGAGATACATCAAATGGCTTTTAAATTTTTGAAATCGCTCCAGCCGTTTTGGAGAAAACGTCGATTTACGGCAAAAAATCTGTTCACACACACACACACACACACACACACACACACACATACTTTTTCCAAATTTGGTCTCATTCGATTCAGAATGGCTTGAAACGTCGAGAAAACATAAAATTAGCCATTCGGATATTTTGATGAAAACATAAACTTCTCCTTCGGGAAGTTAATAAGTCGGGTTTTCCTTCCTGACGAAGTAACTCCAAAACGCACGAACCGATTTCGACAATTTTGCATTGGTTGGAAAGGTCTTGGGCTCCGCAAGGTTTATAGCTGGAACTTCACGCACCGTAATTAAAAATTCGAGTAATAAAAATAATCAATAATTGTTTTAAATAAATGCAAATAGATTATCTTTTATATATATAAAAATAAGTCAGGTTTTCCTTCCTAACGAAATAGCTCCAGAACGCACAATCTGATTTCGACAATTTTGCATTCGTTGGAAAGGTCTCGGGCTTCGCAAGGTTTATAGCTAAGAAAATTGGTGCATGGCATCGTGCTCTAATGCAAATTGCTGGAACTTCACGCACCGTAACTAAAAATTCGAGTAATAAAAATAATCAATAATTGTTTTAAATAATTGCGAATAGATTATCTTCTATATATATAAAAATAAGTCGGGTTTTCCTTCCTGATCAAATCTTTCCTTTTCAAATATAAAACAAACAAAAAATTCCTTCATCTTTCTCACGAAACCATCTGGTGGCGAAACGGAGTTCGTCGGGTTTGCTAGTTTGATATAAAAACTAATTTTCTATAATATTAGAAACATCAATTTTCGATAGCAAATGTTTAGTAATAAATAAATAAATATTTAAACTCATTTTTTGATAATGGGGTCAACCAACCCATAAATTTGTATTGCTCGAAGTAATTACTTGCGATTATTAAACTTAATACAAAACATGTATGAAGTTTTATTTTCATATAATTCATATTTGATTAAAAATTATATTTTTTTCATATATAGATTTCACAAAATATAATTTTAACCCTTTTCTTTAATCATCATATAAATAACCAATATACATATTTTATATTTATATTTACAGGACTTTCCTTATATAGGACTTGAAAATCACAATAATAAATCTTGTTATAATTGTTTTAAAGAATATATATTATTCATTTTACAGGGCAATGATAGAGATGGGGACAGCTCACGTTCCAAATATTTAAATTGCTCTATAAATAAAGCTGAGAAGGAACTAGATTACTCTCTGAATAAATTGCAGGTAAAGTATATTTGTTTTATTAATTTTGATAATAAACTTTTCATTTGAATAATAAACGGCATACTTTTTTAAATAAATTTTAAGTTCAATTTATAATATTTAGGATAATAATATATATAAATAATTCTACTAATAAAAAATAATTGTACTCGAAAAGTAAACTTCTGTTATTTTTTAGGATCATTTGAGTAAAATATGCGATTGCCAAACTGACGAATTGAGCATTAAATCAAAATATAAAGAACTTGCCAAGTTAATGTTACAAAACAAAAAGGAAAACGCAGATTTGCAGAAATGCAAAAACCAATTAGTAAGTGTTCCAAAAAATAAAATAATGCTAATAATCTAGAAATTCATTACACACATCATTTATTTATTATACACTTATCATTATAATAAAATATGTCTTTTTAATATTTTTATTTTATGAAACCGGTAAAATGTGCATCAAATAACACAAAAATAAAATATGGTTTTTATTGAAATCAAACAATGGCAACCCGGCATAAAGATAAAATTGAAAGCGAAATGACTATTATTTTCGGCTGAATGAGCAAAGCTAATTGCATTATTTTTTATTTCTAATTTTTCAGCTCATGTTAAACTATTTCCAATTTATTTGATTTTATTTATTTTTTTATACAATATACAACGATTCAATTCGACTTTGAGCACTTACATTGTGAAAACCAAACTAATTATATCACAACAAATGACTATACTATCAGACTATGTTCAGTAAAACTCTCAACTAATTTATCATTGTAGAAATATGTTTTTTCTGTTTTTTTTTATTTGTAACCTGGTGGTTTTTACTCCAATGGGGGATAAAATAGATCGAATGTCTTACTTTTGACTCTAAAGGGAATGCAAAATGTAAATTTCATAGGCACATTTTCACGAAGATATCACTGTGAATAACCTTAATCTGGCATTTTGTCGAAAATATTCATCAGCAGAGTCGAAATAACTATTTATTTAATTTATCTCTTGTAAAATTGCTATTTAATTCAATTTACTGTTTTATCAATTTTTATTTTTTACTGTTTTACTAGGGAAAAAGTTGAGTTTAAGAAGTTGGTCATTTTTACCGCATTAAGCTTTTGTAAAGGTTGTATAAAAAAACTGTTGAATCTAACTTAAAATTAACAATAAATCTTATAAAACAATTAAATAACGTATACTTAAAAGTTATATTAAGGTTTCGTAAGCTAAACAACAGTGCTCAAAATAAAAACAAATAACAACGCAAGAAAATTTTTTTGTTATGAATTTTTAGGCATTGCTTTTTTGCTTCTGAATCAAGGTGATGGCTATATATACATGTTTTTCCCTTCACTTTCAAGTATTGTTGTTAAAAAAGTTTACTTGTTTTTGAGATATTGGTGGTGGTTCTTCTTATCAGCAACCTTTAAGCTTCGCTCTGCCCTAATTCGTTTCTACATGCTTGAGAGTTCTTTGAAATAATTCCTATTTTGAAAAGATTTCAATGCACTTTAATACAGAACTAGAAAAATGTTTAGGCATTAATTTCTAATAATTTTGTCCTTGTATTGCTTTTAAATTTCTAAAGTTGTCAATTTATTTATTTTTATCTTAATCGATTCTTAGAAAAAAGCAAAGTTTGAACAAAATTCATCCACAAACTTATGCTTTGATGGGTTGGATGCAAGACAATTAAGCCTAGAAGCCCAAGAAATTACCGAAAAATATCAGTGTATTGCAAATGAATTGGAACGATCCAATGTTCGTCGAAAAGAATTGGAAGATGCCAACAATTATATGCAGAGTGAATTAAACAAATTACAGACAGAAGTTGCCGTACTCAGCACCCGCTTGAATACTTCGGTAACATCATTATTCATTATTATAATAATAATATAAATATTGATATTTATATTGAATATTAAAATAATAAATATAAATATTGATTATTATTTTTCTTTTTTATGCAACGAAATAAAAAATCAAAATTTCAAGAAATTAATGTCGTATCTTGTGTCGACTTTTGCTGCGCATCTTCATACTTGTATTTATTTTACAGTATGATATATCAAAATTTTAACATTGGACAACGAGTTACTCTGAAATATTTTTCTGATATTTACAATTTTTCTATGTAATATTAAATAACATTATAATATATTAACAGGAAAATGAAAGATTGTGTGCAAACAAGCGAAAGAAAGATTTGGAAAACCAAGTAAATCGTTTGAAAATTAGTCTGGATCAACATAAACAAAATGCCGAGTGCACCTTTAAAAAACTGCATCGTATGCATGCTATGGTAAATTATCAAAAAAATTCTATATTATTATATTGCAAAAAAAAATTATTTAAACATCATACATATTCTTAAAAATTAAACTGTATTTTTGATGACTAATAGGAATATAATGAATTTAGTCAAAATTAATAACTGGGTATATTGTCAACGTTCAATCCTATACCGATTTTGAATATTCAAAAATTATTCGAAAGGTATCAATTGGGAATCGTGCTCAAGAGTTTTGGTAATTTGCCTGGCCAGTTTGTAATTAATTGTTCAAACACATTTCTTTGATGATTGAGTAACTTTGATAAATGTAAACAAACATCCTAAAGTATTATAGACCCTTATTATATACCATAGTATGTTAAACAATTTTATATAAAATGTCAAATGTAACATGCCTCAAAGCAAAATGCCACTTATACCTAGTTATTATTACTTTTTCTGAATGCATCTAAATTTAGCTAATATGTTACTAAATTAAATATTTTAAATACAAAAATTCTTTAATAATAACACAGGTCCACAAAAAAGAATGAAGTAAAACTTTCTCGCTATTGTACGAGATGGCATTTAAGTTAAAAATAAATACATCATATAACAATTTTAAATAATGTTTATTAGTAATATGATAACACTCGTGATGCACACATTTATTAATGTTAACCATTATACATATTTATATAATAATAAATTATAAATTATAAAATTATTATATATAATATTTATAATATTTGCAAACAATAATAAAATTAAAGTCATACTTCAAATGTGACATGATCGGTTTGTCATTGTAATTAACATTTAGAACTTGAACCTTCATTAGAGAAATGAAGTAATTGCTTATTAATAAATTCTATAATATTCGTTCACACAGTGGATTATGTTAAACAAAGCCTAAAGAAATTTTGTTTGCACAATTTCACTCATCATGTAATTGTGTTTGAAGAACTTCATGTAATTAAAATTAACATGCATTCATTGATTGCTTGTATTTTTTTTACTTTTTCGCTAGCGATACAATCTCATTTTTGAGCAGCTGTATTTTCCATTTCAAAAACTTTTACAAAGATTTATAGAAACTACGAATAAAATAGAAATTATTTCAATAAACTTACGTTTCTTACACTTCACAAATATTTCATTTGTTTTATTATTTTCATTATAATTATTTACGGGGGACAGGGTAAAATATTCTTCTGATTCAGGCATTTTTTATTAGATCAAGATTTGTATTACGATGTAACCTTGAAATCTAATGACATCCTGATATAATGCTCCTCGTTGATGTACGCCGATACGCAACCGACGAAAGAAATCTATTCACTCGACACGACGACTAATCACAATCGACCCGTATAAAAATGATTTCATAGAGAGCGAATGACGAACAGAATGGGCGTAACGCACTTCCGTTGCATTTTCACAGATTTATTTCTTAGTCGCGCCTAAAGAAGTTTTACTTCAAAAATAAAAGTTGTCTGTATTGAGTGTGCGGCATATGTTTTCCAATGTAGTTTTTACCGTTGATCACGAATCTAAAGTCAAAATTGAGGCGTCAAATCGCAAAAAAATGGAAAAAATAAAAAAAGACAAAATCTGCGGTCTAATAATTAAAATCATGTGATTTATGTCGTTTTCTGTTCCTTTTTATCTTAAATGACTATTGAGTTTCATTAAATAATTAAGTAATTTATCCTATAAATATAATATATGTTAATTTTATGCATCATTATGTTGTATTGTAATAGCTATTAGCTAAGTAACTAACTGCATGCAATATTTAAAAATAAAATGTTAACTATTATTACATTTATTTCATCTTTAAAGTATCAAGAAGCAAATAAAGAAGAGATATCGAATTTGAAGTGCCGATTATTCAATTCGATGCAGGAAAATGAGTCATTATTATCGGCCATCCAGCAGAACGTTAAGCGCGAGATTCCACAACTGAACGAGATGCAAACTCAAGTCGATTATCTTAAATTAGATTTCTCAACAATCTGCCCGAATACAACAACGTACAGATGTTCAACACCAACATCCAACACCATTGGCTCACCCAGAGAATGCAAGAAAATGATTGCTGGTAATATATCGAAAAAATATTTTGAAAATTGTTAACTTGTCCGATTCCATGATGATCTATTATAAATCGTTTGATATGAACAAAAGAAAAAAGTTGCAAAATCTCAATTTTTATTAATTCGATTGTAAGCAATCAGACACTTTTTACTGATATATAAAAGGTTTTGCTTTCGTTAAAAACTTATCGTTTCTTCACAAGCAAAACGTTTTTTGAATCATTCAAATCGGGTGCTTTGTTCTATGAAAAATGGTCATTTTTTACACTGTTAGTTCCTTATCTCTGTAACGGCAGGGCTTGTCTTTGACATAAACTAATAATCACGTCGTCTTATCATTACAAATGGAATGTTTTTTCGAATCGTTCAAATCGGATGTTCTGTTCTCTCAAAAACTTAATTTCCATTTTCTGCACCTTTTGCTGTGCTTTCCCAAAAACTAATCAGCACTAATCCCCATAAGTATTAGGAATCAAATGGTTTTTCATCAATCAAATCGGTTGAGCGGTACTCTCGAAAAGGTTCACGAAAAGTTGTAACCACACAAGAGATAAATTAAATAAAAAGTTATTACAAATCTGCTGGTGAATATTTCTGGCGAAATACCAGATCAAAGATATTATCAGAGGATAAAAAGGACCAGATTACAATTGTTTGAAAAACGGTTAAAAACGCATTTCTACAATAATGAATTAGCTGGAGTTTTACTGAACTTAGTCAGATAGTTATTTGTTTGGTATGTGTTGTTGTGATATAATTAGTTTGTTTTTCACAATATATTGTGCCCCGCCTTACCCGACAGCTTATTTACTTATTTTCGGAAGGCAATTGTATAAATTATTCAGACCAAAAAAATATATGATACCAAACTATTCGTAAATATCTAATACCAAAATTTAATTAAGATATAACTTAGTACATTAATAAAAGGTGAACCACTAGGTTTTCCTTTGCAAAATTCTAAGTCAAACTAATTACTCAATGTCTTTCTATTTAGACAGATTGTAATTTATAAGAAAATTAAAAATAAATTAAATATTCATTGTATCTCAATTAAATTTATGTCATACATAAAGCTGTTGATATTTTTTATCGTTGCTTATTTCTAGAGGTAAACGAAAATTCGGCGGATGCAGCAAAACTCATGAGCGAAGTAAATAAGCTTGTGAAAAACTTAGAGGGACTGAACAAGACACTCACGAAGGCGGATACATGTCAACGCATAAAAAATTTAAAACGGAAAAGCCCGGTAAATATAGCATCACATTCTTTGCATACCTATTATTCATCTTCAAATCACACATTTCACTAAACCTTATAGATATAATGTTCAAGTTTTTCTGAATACTTATCATTATTCATGATTTTTTTTTTTTTTTTGAGTACAAACCACTAGTTTTCCAAAAAATTATTTAGTTTAGTTTTTTATTTTTAAATATATTACTTTTTACATTTTGCAGATATGGAATGTCTCCTTCTTCAAAAAACAAACGATTTTTCAAAGATATTTACAGCTTTTAAGTACAATAATAGTAAAAAGATTTTTTTTTTTTAATTTTATAATAATAATTAAATAGTTATTATAATAAATAAACAGGTTAATTTTTAATAGTTCTGGAATTATTTGTGAATATAAAAATATAGATTTTTATAAAATTGAGGCTTTCAGAAAAGTAAAATAATATTATAAAATAAAATAATTAACAAAATCGAGCAAACATCTATATTTTTGTTCAGAATAAAGCTATTGAACATAAAGAAAAATTGCACACAAGACGAATTTGTCAATCAAAAATAGTTCAATTTTGTGATTGCTCACAAATTGCGTGTACCTAATGAAAGTGATGAAAGTGACGAAGTGACGAGGTAAGGTTTTCTTGTATGAATGATTTCTTGATTTCCACACTATTTTCATTCGAACATATCTATTTTATTCTTAGAAATATCATAAGCATTGCCTAATCAAGTCAACGTTAATAAATAATTAATATGTTTTAACATATTTAACACAGAACATCATGATAATTTTCATGATATAATTAGTTTAGAATTATTTGAATTTGCGGCCAAATAAAATCAGAAATTTTAATAAACATGTTTTGCCATGTCATCACCAATTTAATTTATTATTTTGTGATTAAATTAATTAATTTTGCATATTTTTAACTTTCGTAGGGTAAGTTATTGCAAACGTCAACCAAAATCATGAAAATTAATTACATTTTTACATTTTTTTCACGTTTTGAAGGTTTCTGAACATTCTGGCATTACCTCAGAAAAAAATGTGTATGTATGCATGGATACAATTTTTGTACACGTTTTCGGACGCACGGATCAACCAATTTGAATGGTTCAAAAAAAAATTCGATTCCTATTGATAGGGAGATGTGCTGATTAGTTTTTGGCAAAGGCCGATCCAGCTATTTCGAAGATACGAAGCAAAGAGTGCAGAAAATAAAAATTAAGTTTTTGAGAGAACAGAGGCATCCGATTTGAATGCTCTAAAATCAATTCGTAATCACGGGGAGAAGTTTTGGCAAAGCCGTTTCAGAGAGATACCGAGCCAAATGTGTAAAAATTGCAGTTTTTGATAGAACTAAGCAATTTGACGAAACAAATGATTTTGGGGGATTTTTTTTATTTCTAAAATTTTTTCTTGAATATTGAAAATGATTCGAATTTTATTTTATTTCTAGCTAAAGTTGTAAGGCTCAATTATATAACTTTAAATAAATAATTTCACCTTTGCACTTCAGTTTATACGATTCTTATAAATATTATACAAAACAATTTTAAATTGATGAAATTGATTAAATTTGTTCATTTACTTTTCCATAACCTCATAATAAAACTAATTAAAAACATTTAAAAATCTCGAATTTCGTTACGTTACGGGGAGTCCCAGCAATTTGCCTTAAGGCCACAAAGGTCATACACCACTAGTTAGGATTATGAAGGTTTCTCGTATATTTTCTAATTATTAACATAGTACGTTGATGTATGTAATGCTATATTAAATGCATTTTATGTAAAAAAAATCACAATAAAATTATAATGTACTTTTCTACCTTATATCCATGTGCTATATTTTATTAGAGTGAAGCGTATTGCATTGATATCAGAGAATCAAATTTATCGCAAGAACTATTGGAAGGCACTGTTATTTTGAGCCGTCTGGGAAGCCACTTATATGGATTTTGGTAAGTGCTTATCTACTACTAATTAGATTTTTAAGAGTTGGGTTTTCTAATGATTGTGTGGCTTTAAATAGAGAATTTATGATATGACTCTATTCTCATGATGATGTTCTATATTTAAAATTTTATGGTCGAGTAACGATATTACAATATCCAGCATACTAACTGAGATATTCGGTCAAGGCAAAACGTCCGATGCTGCGTTTAGTTCGTTTATTTTAAATGCCTAGGAAATATTTAAGAGATTGATTGGATACATATTAGATTAGAATAGTTTGAGTTCGAAGTATGTTATTGTTAACTCGGGTTTATACAAAGATTCAAATTCTAAATATTTAGATTAAGAAAAAATAATAATTGATGTGTAGTTTGTCTTTTTTATAATGCTCATATAACTGTGTTAAAATTACTCAATCATAATGCATTGTTAACCTCCCGAAGGCCAGTAAAACCAATTTGCTAATGTCAGTGTTTTCTCAAGTCAGTCAAAAACGATTTTTTTATTTTTGTAATTTACAGCAATTAGGACTATTATAAGATCTATAAGTGAAGACCTCTGCTTATTACTAAAAACCACGTTTGTTAGTAGGCAATCCATTGATTTTTTTACTCTCTCTGAGAATAGTTCAGTTGTATACTAAAGATTATTAGAATGCAGCTTAATGGTCGTTTTTCTAACTGGGACGGGATACTGCAGCAATGCCGGGAAAAGGGCTTTTTTTACCTGAATCATGTTACTGTCTACATTCACAATTGAAAATTGTTGACACTACTGCTTGACAACAGACTGCTCGAAGTCGAATAGAACCCGGGACCTCTGATTCAGATTAGTTGTTACAGCAACTTACCTACGAGCGAGTCCAACAAAAATGAATGAAATGAAAAATCGTTTGGAAAAATGTTTGTGTGTTTTTGTTTTTTATATATAGATCGAAAGAAATGCATTACGCATGCTAGGTCTAAATCTTTTGTTTGGGTATGTTGGCTTAATAATAATACCAACTGAAACCTCCGCTATTCTCTTGTGTTTTTTTCAAAAAGGTTAAACTTTTTTTTTATTTTACGTAGCAAACTAATTACATTCATCTACTTTTACAGATAATCTGATATTGACAGCGAGTGAAGAATATAGCTATCTTGCAAAAGCATCTTCTGTAATTATAACATTAAATTTTACGTGGATGATGTAATAAATCATTGCAGTTCCTTCTCTTAAGTCGCTTTGGTGATAAAGGCTTGAGCAGGTCACACGTAGGATTTGTGGATGTCGGCTTAGCCGAGTCTTGTATCTGATGCATAAATGGTTATTTTCTTTATTCACAGTTGAGAATACTAAGGTCTTGAAGTATTAGCCAGTTTGGTACATATTTTTGGGCGTTCACGATCCGTTTCAAAATTGTGCTCTGGAACCTTTCTAGAATTTCCATGTTTGATTTACTAGCCGCACCCCCATAGTTGTAGACCGTAGGACCATATTAGTTCGTAATGTTTGTCTTGTATATTAGGAGCTCATTTTCAGACGAAACTTGTAAATTTCCAGCCCATTAACCAATTAAGGGGTCGTTCATTAATCACGTGAGGTTTTTAGGGGAAGGGCGGATTTGACAAAAAATTACGAATATCACGTGGGGAGGGAGGGGTATAGTAGATATCACGT